ACAGTCACACTCAGGCCGGTGTAATAGCAGCGTGTGGAGCCTGAGACTGCTCAGGTCACGGGGTTTGTCAGGATTACAGTGGAGAGTCTGGCTGCCCGGCTCAGTCGGCTGGATTAGTTACAGACCACTCAGGATGTGTGTTTGGAACAAAGTGTTGTACTTCGCATACAGAGTGTGTGAAATCATGTTTGTCTTTATGAGATTACTGCACAGTGTGCGGCTTCTCAGTATAAAGTTAATACGTGCAAGACACACTGCAAACATTGTTGTTAAGCACCACTGTGGGAGCAAGAAAGTTGTGTCAGTGCGTGTTAAGTAGCACGCGGTGCGTTCAGCCTCATTGCTTTAGTGGGCCAAAGTCAGCTCATCAGTCACGCCCGGCCCTGCCAGAGCCTTTGCACATACTCACATTCCTGCAAGCCCACGAACACACGCTGAACGGTGCACACAGCGAGACAGAGACACAAGAAGCTAACAGACAGAAAAATGCGTCTCACACACACAGTGATCATCATTTGGCTCAGAGCTGTAAAACAGGACCTCTTCCCGCCATAAGTAACGATTAGGAGAAGGCTGGAGGGCGGGGCGAGGAAAACGTGCCTTTGACCCGTCTGGCAGAAGCGCAGATGTGCCGTAAAATCTGTGCGTTGCTATGAAGTCATGCTCCTCAGGGGCGTGGAAGTGAAGTGACTTCCTGTCACACTCCCCGAGCCGGGGTTACCCACGGCAACGGCCACGTGACCAGTTTACTGACAACTTTACAGCTCAGTGATTGGTTGATGGAAAAGGTGCTAAAACGGCGGAGCGTGTGACCGTGCAAGAACGTCTGCAGGCCTCTGAGGCTGCAGTAATCTGGGTCAAAGGTCAAACAACTTTATGGGCAGAGATGAGTCAGTTTACCAAAGCGATCGAGGATCATGTTGTAACTTCTGCTCTTCTGAGACGAATGTGTCAGGAGCTGATCTCAAACATGAAGTTATAATCCTGCCAAAGCTTTCCTGCCAGCTTCTCCTCCAGAAAGAAATGAACGAGTGATGAAGAAGAGCGCGCACAGAGGTCTGAATCAACTGGTAGGAGTTTGCATGTTCTTGTTGCTCCTCTTTGGAGTCTCTCCAGCTTTGCCCCACAGTCATGAATCATCTGTGAACCAACTGTAGGTGTAAGCGTGTCTCTGTCCACAGTGGATCCTCCTTTCACAGTCAGTGGTTGAACTGCTGCTTTCTGAGCGAGCAGACGAGAAAGCAGAGCCTGTGTGATTCCAAAATAAAGGCTGCTGCAGGAATCAGGCCTGCGTGGAATGAAAGCAGGAATTATTTTCTACAAGTCAGCAGATAAGAAAACGTTCTTAATCTTCAAAAAAGCTCTCAGCTGGAAGAAACTGGCTTTGTTTAGAAAATGTCACCTGAGCTGTAAAAAGGCTGTAACTTTGTTGACGTGTGATTTAAAAGAAACCGTCTTCATATGAGCTGTGGGGTCGCTGTTCCTCTGACAAGCTTCCAGCTGGTGACCCAATCAAAGAGCGGTCCGCTCTGGTCAGTGTTGGGGAGTAACGGAATACATGTGCCGCCGTTACGTATTTAAAATACAAAATATGAGTAACTGTATTCCGTTACAGTTACCGTTTAAAAAGGTGGTATTTAGAATACAGTTACTTTGTTGAAATAAATGGATTACACGGCGGTACTTCCCTGTTTCATATTGTGGCGGGTCAGGACTGTTTGGGTTTTGTTTGACAGCTACGTTCTGTTGTTCCAGGCGGCAGCATTACGGTTGCCATGGTTACAGGGTGACGCTCTCTCTCTGCGTGTTTCCTGGGTGAGAGAGGCCTTTTTGTTGTTGTTGTGCTAAGCTAACAGGCAGAATGCTACAGGTATAGCTCTAAAGAATGTAGCATCATGGGCAGTGTAGTCCGTGCTGCAGGGAGAATGGACTGCCATACCCGTTATGTGTCTGTGAGCGAGGGAGGGAGAAAAAGGAAAAGTACGAGCTGTCATCGAGCAGAAACGGGAGCTGGAAGCATGTAAATATAATAATAACCACTGCAGCCAAGAAGAGAGCCTGACGAGCCCAGCTGTAAGTAAGCTATTAAGACTCGACTGTACACCGTGTTCGTGTTTTCCTCCGAAACAATAAGTTCTGTTGGAGCAGCCTTTCAACGCCTCTCTCTGTCTCTGCTAGCAAAGTTGACCCAGACAACAAAGTAAAGCTAGTTTTCAGCTACGAGCCGACACAGAACCCACCGTATTAGCCAGAGGTCCCTTTACTACGGTTCGGAGCCGCGGACCTTCAGTAACAGTAATAAATCACAGCAATAGTACATTCATGTAGTTGTAAACAGCATGATAATATATTAAGTAATCCAAAGTATTCAGAATACGTTACTCTCATTGAGTAACATAACAGAATACGTTACAGAATACATTTTGGGGCATGTAATCTGTAATCTGTAATGGAATACATTTTAAAAGTAACCTTCCCAACACTGGCTCTGGTGTTGTAGCTCTGTCCACAGTCGGTTGTTAGGTTTGACTTGTTGAGCAAACTCTGCAGTTTAAAACGCTTTTTAACCCCAGCAGTCTCACAGGGCTCATCTACACTGTGTGGCTGTCGTCCCAAATATGCAAACTCCCAAATTCAGCTTTGGCCAGAGTCCATCATTTAACAGGATAATTCAGTGCAGTTGGAAACAAATTGCAGCTCTATGGAATTCCATTTTTAAATGCCAATTTCTCCGCCTTAATTATATGGCCCACTTCTAGCACCCCGGTCTCCAGAGTTATAGATAGTGTTTTAATGCTTCACGTCTTGCCTGTGGAACGCAGAGGTTTGCATGAATTAGCAGCACAGTTGTGACTTCCTTCACGTGACGTGTCTGTGATGACTGTCCGCACAGATGGCCGTGATATTTTTTAACTAGCTCTTCCTGGAATCTTGTGTTTGCCAGGAAACAAGGCCAGGCAGGATTTGGGAAACGTACACATGTTCAGAAGAAGGAATGTTGAATGTGTGTGAAAGCAGGCTGATCGAATAAATGAGTCACATTTATCGATAACCAGAAAGTACGTGTCACTTCCAGACAAGTCGCCCTTGTTAGCAGCCGAGTTGTGGCAGAGCAGCTGTGCTGGGTGTCTTTAATTAACCGTAATTACAGAATCGTTACCAGAGCTGATGCTGAGAAACAGCTGTCTCTGAGCTCTGGGGCTGGAGAGACGCAGATTTGATCAAGTCTCAGTCAGACATGGGTCATATTTACATGATTATATTTACATGGCTTAAAGAGCCACTATAGTCACATCTTTGTCCGACCTTTAAACTGCTCTCAGGTGACTGCTGTGCTTTAACCAGCATTACAGTTTTTCTGGCTCATTTCTTTCAGCTTTGTTGAAGTTCACAGCTCCTGCATACAAAATATGCATACTTAGAAAAACCATGAAATCATTTGTTAAAATTACGGGTGGGCGATATAAACGATATACGATAGAAACGATATAAATTTGGCCAACGACAGAGATTTTGACTATACCGCTCTATCGCGATAGCGCATGTTGATGATGTCATCAAGCTGCGCCTGTTTTGGTCGAAAGCATC